CCCGCCCCGCCCAACGCATGATCCCGCCCCCCGGCAGCATCACCCTCCTTGTTGTCAGACGCGAGACAAGGGGCTCCCTTGTCTTTCCCGCGCGCCTCCCTCCGCCCCCCCGCAAAGGTCACAACCTCCAGTGCCCTTTACTTGACATGCTCGGTCATGCCTTGTGCGCATTCCTCAGCTCTGCATTCCAGCGGCCCCAGGGAAGCCGAGCCCCCTCGGCTGGGATTTTTTGTTTTCCCTGAGCTCAGCCACACCTGGTGAAACCCAAGGAAGAGAAACACCCGCCCTGCCTCCCACATGGCAGCGCATGCCAGCGTCCTTGTCCAGCCCTGAGGAGCGCTGAGCTGCCTACCAACACGCTCCGGTCGCCCTAGCAAAGTCTGTACAGCTCGAACCTCTCTGGTCCGGCAACACCCGTAGTCCGGCATGATGGGAGTTCACCGGCTGTCCGCTTGTCATGGATGTGACCAAGTTTCCTGCAGTCCCACAAAGTTTGTTTCCAGCCGCCAGTTCTGGCTCGCAGGGTTCTGTGTTGTGTTTTAGCTCTGATGTACCCCTCCGTGTCTTCTCAGAGCCCAGCAAGCAGTGGACGTGTTGGTCATGTTACTACACCAGTGTTTCTCAACCTTTTTTTATAAAGTACCCCTTTAAAAAAAATATAAGAACTCCCAGTACAGTAGACTTCCGATAATCCGGAATCTATGGGACCTAGGTGGTGCCGGATTATCAGATACGCCGGACTATCAGGAGGTACTATAAGATGGTTTTATATATATACTGTATACATTAGATACTGTATATAAAGTGTTCTTAACCCTTTTTATTGTACATACTGCATACAGTATACTGTAATGTTTTAGTTTTTTTAAGACTTTTTTACCCTTTTTGTTCAGTCCAGCTGCTGCCGCTGTTACCTTGTGACTCATTTTTTGCTGAAGTTCACTCACTAGGCTCTTGCCATTTTGATGCTGGACTATCAGAATTGCCGGATTATTGGATGCTGGAGTATTGGAGTTTTACTGGACTTACAATTTTCAGACACACTTTTTTTTTTTTTTTGCAACACATTGGTTTAAACAATTTAATCACAGCTGGGCGGGCGATGAAATTTTTGGGTGTAGAAAGTACAAAAATAATATAGCGCTGTAAAACTTAAAAGAAAAATTCGGTTTTCTCCAAATTTCAGTTGTGTTGACTAACCTCCCGGACTTCTCTCGAGTACCCCTATAGGTACTAGTTCCACTGGTTGAGAAGCACTGGGCAAGACAATATGGATCACGCATGATCCGGCAACTCCTCTGGTTTGGCACCAGAGGGGGCCGGACTAGAGAGGATCAACCTGTATTTAAAAGTTGAAACCCTGCAACGGAACTGAGTTGCGAGGCAGCGCGGTCTAGTGAGTAGTGCATGCGCTTGGGAACCAGGAAGTTGGGTTTCAGACTGTCCTCTCTGCAGCTCTGCCTCTGGGCGTGTCTGTTTCTTCGCCCCATCCATGGTGCGCAGGAGCCAGATGGTGTCTGGTCGCATCGCTTGTGAGCCGTCTAGGGGGGCTTCTGTAACCTGTGCACCTGCTGGGCGGGGGTGCCATCCCACGGAGTGGCATCTGTCGGGCATGATGCTTGCTGTGCTGTGTCCTTTGAGAAGTGGCCAGAAAGTCACGTGGACCCATGCCCTGCTCTGTCTGTGGACCTACGCCTTGCGCTGTCTGTGGACCTACACCTTGTGCTGTCCATGGACCTACGCCCTGCTGTCTGTGGACCTACACCTTGCGCTGTCCGTGGACCTACACCTTGCGCTGTCCGGACCTACACCTTGCGCTGTCCGTGGACCTACGCTCTGCTGTCTGTGGACCTACACCTTGCGCTGCCCGTGGACCTACACCTTGCGCTGTCCGTGGACCTACGCTCTGCTGTCTGTGGACCTACACCTTGCGCTG